AGAAATCAAAGGATGTGCAGTGGGTGTCAAAGGCTTTGAAAATGCTCTGCAAATGCCAAGAGTCTTAGTACTCGGTTTGTACGGGGTCCCTCTGAAAAATGGATAGGAGAACTTCAAACCCTAAAAGTAGGATGTGAGGGGCTTCCTGTTGCTTAGTTAGTTGAGTGACCCAGAATGCAAGCTTAGCTTAACACGCCATCTAGATTAGGGCTAATCAGGGGCAGGCTGAGCAGATGCGGGGACAATCCCAGCCTGATTACTGTACCTCAGCATTTAATCATCTCTCTTCCAAGGGCAGCCGGCCGACTTAGTACATGCTGGGTTTCCAAGCTTCCAGTCCCCTCCCCCTCTCCCTCGCCATGGACATAAAGGCTGCTAGGTCAGAGACACTGAGACGATTTAATCTAATCCATGTCACAATGGCTGGGGGTGCAGGGGGTGAAAGAGGAGAGAGACTGATTCTAAAATCCCCACAGTGGGATGGTAATGCATTTATTTAAGGTAGAGATAGACTGAAACTGCCCATAGAATATAATGGAATTGGGATTTCAAGGCATTTGATGTTATGAAATGACCCCATATGTGTGGGATTTCTCCCTCTGAAAAATCTTTCAGATATATAGTTGCTGTTACCAGTTGTTCACTCTTGAGACAGCTCAGTGTGGGAGTCATTTATTTCATCACCCAGTCGTAGAGGCCAAACGTATTCCTTCCCTGATTGTGAGGTAAAGTACCTAAGATGAAATCTTTAAAAATGATTTTATTTGCATGCATCCCGAATATAGTCGTTTTTATATTGCTGTTTTCTGGACCGGGAGCTCCCATTCTAAAACAGCCTAATCACCCTGAGACTCATTTAGTTCAATCCCTCAGTCCGAGAACAGACACGTGTGAAATCTCAGGAGGCAGGTTTCATTCGTAAGCATTGAAAACATGTACTGAGCTCCTGCTGATTGCTAGAGACTCAAAGATGGAGACTCCATCCCTCCCTTATGGAATTTACAGGCTCCTTGGAGACAAGACATGCAAACAGCAATAACGAATAGACCATTGCCTCCATGGAATGCAATACAAAGTGCTGTGGGAGCCCAGGAGAAGAGGAGCCCATTCAGGGACCAGGCTGAGTTCAGTCAGCCAAGGCAGAAGTAATGGCGTGTGCGCACGTGGAAATGCGTGTGGAGATCCTCAGTCAAATAGTTCACCTGGCTGGAGTGTAAAGTGGGTGGGGATTCACGGATCACCGAGCTGAGTGAACAACAGGGGTTGACACGAAGGGTTTAAATACCTGCAAAGGGATTTGGATGATACCCTATGGGGCGCTGAAAACCACTGAAGAACTGTAAAAGAGGGCAGCAAGGTCATCTTGTGTTCAGATCCCGTGGGTATAGCATATAGTATATGTGTTTCTGCATCTGAACCTTTCCCCATTTTGCTCTAGGGCAGAGCTCCCATGATACTGAAACCTGTGCTAACACTGTTGGACATGGAGTCACATCCTAAGAAACCCAAATATGTCATAAACCGGGATGAAAGAGATTTAACTCTACAATTCTTTAAGTTTCTCTCCACCCCAGCCCTAACCCAGGGCAGTTGCTCACAGTTAGGAGGAATCTCCCAGCTCACAGTAGTCACCATTTGTAAAGCCCTCAAGTTTGGAGCTTTTGAAACGGAATCAAGCCCACAAGCAAGAGCAATGAGATGAGACTGATCTTTGCTTCTGGTTTGGGTTGCTGTTTGCAGGGTGGGTTCTTTAGAGGGTGGCACACTGGCTGCGCTACAGCATGATTTGGGGCACTTCATTAGCTTTGCCTGTTTGGGCCAGAAGAGAAGATGAAAGTGATGCTGATTGTGGTATACTGGGGTGACTGACGAAGATGGATGGTCCTCACATACGCTCAGACCCATGCCTGGAGTCTAGAAGCTGGGGAGCAGGCCCAGCTGCACATTGGTTGAGGCCAGCAGTAGACTCCCTTGGCCTGTTGCCCTTGAGGCCATGCTGATGCCAACTGATGGCACATGTTGCACCTCTCATGCTGTAGGGAATGGAACATGAACCAGAGCCAGGCCTGGCCCTGAGGAGACCTACCTACCTACATTTTCTGGGCCACGCCAGATTTTGCACTACTGTCCTGTTGCTTACGGAGAATCCAGAGGAGGCCACTTCCCTTATTGACTGGGGCTGGGATGGAGCAGGCTTCGAAGAGAAGGGACAGCTGAACCAGGTTTTAAAGAAGGATTGGGGAGTGAAGGAAATCCAGGTAGTGTACAATTTGACAAAAGGCCCAGAGAAAGGAATGGGACCAAATGTTGGGGAACTAAAAGTAGCCCCGGGTGGTGCCCAGAGCACAAGTGCCTGTCGGGAAATGAGACTGGAAGAGGGTAGACCAGGGCAAATCATGAACGGTCTTGAATACCATGCCAAGCATTTGAACTTTGTCATAGGCTTTGGGAACCTTTTTAACATCGTGGAATTTGAAAAGTTGGAGGTTAGGGGCATGACATGATGTAGAAAGATAACTTGGGTGGCAGGTGGAGTGAACTGAAAAAGGAATTGATTAGAGACATGTAAGCGCCATTTGCAAAGGTCTCCATGAAAGAAATTGAACCCCACAGCCCTATAGAGCACCAGGGTAAGCCTGGATTTCCAAAAGTGACTGTCATCTTTTAATCTTTTCTACTCTCTGGAAGATTTCTTTGATTTTATCTTCATATAATTTTTCGGAATGTATTTCATGTACTTGATTTTTTACTTAAAAATTTCTCCATATTCCTTTTAAATAAAGTATCTCATTTTTATGATACAAATCTCTCCTCTCTTTGAGGATATTAGAGTTTGGGGCATTTGTTTTTGTTTTCGCTCCCCACATTGTCTACTCTCTCCGTGTTCCGTAAGAGAACTGATTGTCAGGGTATGCAGGGCCGAGCTAGGTGATCAGGAGTCCTTGGGGTAAGTATTAGGACAGCAGGCCAGGTTTTTCATTGTCTCTTCTCCTCCCCACGCCCACCTACCCACCTGCCAAACATCACTGTAGGTCTTTTATTTTTTTTAATATATCTTTATTGCTTTCAGAGAGAGGAAGGGAGAGAGATAGAAACATCAGTGATGAGAGTCATTGATCGGCCGCCTCCTGCGTGCACACCCCTGACTGGGGATCAAGCCTGCAACCCGGGCATGTGCCCTGATGGGGAATCGAACCCCAATCGCTGGATCCTAGGTCAGTGCTCAACCGCTGAGCCACGCCCGGCCGGGCACTATAGGTCTTTTCTTGGCCTCTTCAGGTCATTTTCTCAGTACAGTGGATGAATTCAGATGTCCTATCAACAACAGTCTGGGTGTAGGGGTTGGCGTGGCCTCCTAGTCCAGGTGGTTGAATTCAAACTTCTGGCTAATTCCTGTTTCCGCCTCTTCCCCTCTCTCTGCAGGAGCTAGGCCTCCGTGTCCTGAGCCCTCCGTGGACACTGGAGTTGCACTTCTCACTTCTCTGATAAGGCAGAGCCACTTGACATTTGCTTTGAGTCTGCCAAAAATATATTGACATCCCTCACTTGTATCCTTTTGTTCCCCTTCACTATAATTTTAGTTTTAAGAAGAGCCCTAGGCAGTTCGGCTCAGTGGTGAGAGCGTCTGCCCCAGGACTGAAAGGCCTGGGCTTCAATTCTGGCCAAGGGCATGCACCTCGGCTGCAGGCTCTGGCCCCAGTGGGGCGAGTGTGGGAGGCAACCCATNGGCCTCTTCAGGTCATTTTCTCAGTACAGTGGATGAATTCAGATGTCCTGTCAACAACAGTCTGGGTGTAGGGGTTGGCGTGGCCTCCTAGTCCAGGTGGTTGAATTCAAACTTCTGGCTAATTCCTGTTTCCGCCTCTTCCCCTCTCTCTGCAGGAGCTAGGCCTCCGTGTCCTGAGCCCTCCGTGGACACTGGAGTTGCACTTCTCACTTCTCTGATAAGGCAGAGCCACTTGACATTTGCTTTGAGTCTGCCAAAAATATATTGACATCCCTCACTTGTATCCTTTTGTTCCCCTTCACTATAATTTTAGTTTTAAGAAGAGCCCTAGGCAGTTCGGCTCAGTGGTGAGAGCGTCTGCCCCAGGACTGAAAGGCCTGGGCTTCAATTCTGGCCAAGGGCATGCACCTCGGCTGCAGGCTCTGGCCCCAGTGGGGCGAGTGTGGGAGGCAACCCATCAGTGTGTCCCTCTTACATCGATGTTTCTTCCCCCCGCCCCACTCTCTGAAAAGCAATGGAAAAAATATTCTCAGGTGAGGATTTGAAAAAAAAGGAGTTTGATGCCTGCATTTATTCTGCCTTATTTAATGGAAACCCTTTTTTAATGTCATAAAATTATCAACTTTCCCTTCTTAGGAAGGACTTCCCTTTTCTGAGATTACATACTTCTTCCTTCCTTTGTGTTAAACCATCCTTCCTACTGTGAAGTAATAGTAATATTTGGAGGTAGTTGGGCATCTTTTTTTTTTTAAGTTGACCTTAAAATGTATTTTAAAATTTTACTGGCCTGTGAAATCTAAAATCAGAAAACTAATGACCTAGGGTTTTTTTGTTTTGTTGACAGGATAGGATTGAGGGAGATGTTTTGTCAAGCTGAGAGTAACTTGAACATGGGCAGAAAGGGTTGAAGAAGTCAGAGTAGCAGATTATCAGAGACAGTGAATGGTGGTGGCCTTTCCTACAGGAGGTCTAGGGCAGTCGGGGGGTGGGCTCATGGGAAGGGCATTTATTCATACCTGATGGGCTGTGCTTCCTAAAGTTGGAGGCAGGTTGGGGAGGCCCTGCTCTGCGGCATGTTCCCACAATTTCTCCTAACTTTTCTTTCCTAATAATCTGTTTTAAAGAATTAAGATGGGGTGAAAAGAGGGATATAATTGTGCCTGGACAGTGAGGCTGCAGTGATTCCCTGAGGAATGGAGCTGGTTGCCCTGTCCAGCCAGCATCTGGAAGCTGAGCCTGATCCCTACCAACGGTCTCCCTTTTCTCTCCCCAGGACTGGTGCAGATCCCTGTGAGCATGTACCAGACTGTGGTAACCAGCCTCGCCCAAGGCAACGGGCCGGTGCAGGTGGCCATGGCCCCTGTGACCACCAGGATATCAGACAGCACAGTCACCATGGACGGCCAGGCTGTGGAAGTGGTGACATTGGAACAGTGACATGCAGCCATATCATGGCATCTTTTTCTAGTCTACTTCAAAAATTTTTACACGTTTGCAGAGGTGCAATCAGATGGAATTAAGTCTCTCGACTTTGGAAGAAAAGTATTGTTAACCCTTTTTTTTAAAAAGGAAGAAAAGCAGCGGATTTTGGAATTGCATTTTTTAAAGCACCACTCTTGATTTTCTGGGATTGGTGGAGTAAGACACTGCGTTGTCAATTTCACTGTCCCTAAAAAGCCAAATTGTGGCAGGACTTCTTTCTGCGAAAACATGTGTGTATACTTATGTGTGTGTATGTGCGAATGTGAATATATGTATATGTGTACATATGGATATACACATTTACATATATATAAAGTATATATATGTGTATATATATATATATATATATGAACCCCGCATGGAATTATCTGTATGAAATTAAGGTGCGCTGTGGAAAAAAATAATTCACCCAGTTTAGTGGGTGTAGGGTACGTGGCCAGACACAGTCACCGATTTTTGTTCATACCAGGGTCATGCGTTGAGCTACTGACAAACTCAGGTGGAGGTGACCATGGCCTTCACCAAAGCTGCCTCCCAGTGGCCACCCAGAACTCTCCCTGCTGGACTCACCTGAGGAAGGAAGTTCAGAACTGGTGGGGCCCAGGAATGTGCTTGCAAGGTCCAGAGGCCTCGTGGTCTGGCAGCCAAGAGACTCTCCTCTGGCTGGCCCAGGTGCTGACCTTGCCACAGGCAGTGAATGTCCTTAAAGCTCCCAGGCAGGGACGAGAAGGTTTTCCTCAGCCTCCCATCTCCCCTTCCCGGGAAACCTCTTGATCTCATGACTGTTAAAATATTGCTTTGGTTTTAAGGTCAGTCCTAAACTGGTCATGTATATGAACTGAAGGTAACAGAAGTATTAAGGGTTTGAGGAGTGTGTGCGAAGTGTGTTTGTGGGTGTGTGAAGGGGGGAGAGAATGGGAGGGGGAGGGAGAGGGGTTGGAAGGGGAAAGGAAGGAGGGAGAGAAAAACTTTCAAAGACCAGGGTACACCAGTGGAAGCAATTTTCTACTTCCTATAACTTTCTGTAGCTTTGCAGAGAGGAGACTGGAACTGACAGGGCACCTGGCTCAGGAAGGTTGGCCATCACACTGGGGGCTGGGGGCATAAGAAGAGAGGACTGAGGGTGTTTCCTGAGCTCCGGGATCAGGCCCCTTCAGAAGGGACCTTGCAGTTCCCCCAGGTGCATCCTGGTGGGCCCAGGCCCCGCACAGCTTCCTCCTCACGGGTGTTGATTGGCCTGGGGTTCTTTGTAACTCTTAAAGTCTCATTTCTCAGCTGCAAGCCCTGAGTCTCCAGTGGCTAAAATCACCTGACTTTTTGACAGGCCAAATCTCTGCTCCTTGAGTACAGGGACAACTCTTCCTCCCTCCTCCCAGGCCCCCCAAGTGTGATAGTGTATTTAATGTGTTTTTTTAATGCGACATTAAAAGATTATTCATGTCTTGCTCAGCCTTTGAGAAAAGTTTCAGATTCTCGTATTTGCTTGTTTTATATAAAATTATCCAATGTTCTTTGTATGTTTTTTTCTGTAAGTAATGGGGGGAGGGAAGGGAAATTTACATATAAACAGTCCTAGTTCTATAATTTGTTATTTTTTTAATTATTATTTTTTATCGTCATTGTGAAGCTGTCCAGGGACTTTAAAGTCCATGATCCTTGTGGTGAAATAACCTCCTGATAGTTTGAGAAATTGCCAAGAAGAAGAAACAGAAGAAAAGCAAAACCCAAGTAGCAGAGCATGGATTCTGTGTTGTTTTCCATTCTGTCTATTACTGCCTCATTCAATAAATAGTTTAAAATGTGGCAACAGGAAGTGGAACTGTTCATCTCTATAGGAGCACTTAGTCTCTAGGAGCTCTCTTCTGGGGTGGCTTGTTGTGCTTTGTAAAAGGTGCTTGTACTCAAGCTTGGTGGCCTCTGAACTGTGCTCCTTGGCGCTGCGGAGCTGCGAGGAGAGAGCCAGCACAGGGTCAGGATCTCCTGCCCACCCACTGCCACCAGAGCAGCTCCATTAAATCTGTTCCATAAAATGCTGACCTGGGAAGGTGACCTAGTTTGAAAAATTCTAAAGATGGTTTGAAAACCTCTACGCTGGAGTTCTTTTTTAGGGGTTCATTGCATTCCACATTAAAAGTCAGGATAAGTACAGCCCTGGCCTGGTTGCTTGGTTAAGAGTGTCATTCGGATACACCAAGGTTGAACCTTCAACCCCAAGTCAGGGCACATACAAGAATCAACCGATTAATGCATCAATATGTGGAACAACAAATCTCTCTCTCTCTCTCTGTCTCTCTCTCTCCCTCTAAAAATTCAATAAATAAATTTTTTTTTAAAGTCAGGATGGGTGATGGTGCCTGTGTACCTGGGCTCTTCCCACATGAGTGTTCAGTGTTGCAGTGGGTTGTCCGCAGGTTCTTTCACAGCTCACTGCTTTAATGTGGCAACTGCCATCCTTCCAGTTGTACCTCCTGCCACACCCCCAGCTTCAGGCTCTTCCTAACTCCTCCCCACACGATGGTTCTGCACTTCCAAGCTTGTGCCACTCTGCTTCCGCCTGGAATGAGCCTCCTTGCCACCTCCACCCCCCCTTTCTTTCTGGTGTTGCGTGTTTGGGTCATTGTCCAGGTAATGATGATTGGAATATTTGAATGGGGAAGGCCAGAGGTATTCTCTTTTATGAAAGTGGCTTAATAAAGCCAGTGCCACCTCTCTCCCTTCTTGCACAAATGGCACATTGTCGCTTATTTTCACCAAGAGGATGGACCAGAGAACGAGAATTGATTATAGCCAAATCAACCAAACATCACTGCCATTGGTCACCCATGGGACAGCCGGGTTACCTAGAGTACCTCCTTCCGAGGACACTTTCTCTCCAGAGGGGCCTTACTCTCCACTGTACATTCTGTTGGCAAGACCCAGGCGCCTTTTCTACAAGCCTGGATTGGAAACTTCAGTGAGCCTGACGGAGACCTTTGCTTCCATTACTGCTCAAGTTACCAACGAGCTGCTAACAGCTGCCCACCGGGACCAAGTAGGTAAAATCGGTGAGTGAAGTGGAAGCGATTCGGGTGTGAGGAAAGGGAATCATGGAGACAGCAGGGCAAGAGCTGTGTCTACAGAGCACAGCCTCTCTTGAGTGCTAGCAGATTGGCCCAGCGGGAGGAATGTGGGCCCTGGAGCCCCACCTTCAAAATTCTCCAGAGAAGCCAAGGAGTCCAGATTTATATGGAGGTCTCCTGCTTTCAACAATTAAAAATCCATTACCTATTTTGCAAGCAAAATAAAGCCCACCCGTCGTAGGCCAGATCTGGCCCGCGGGTCAGTTTTGTTGAACTTCATGAGTGCCTGCCACGTGCCAGGTGAATAAAGCATGGCAGTTGCCCTTGAGAAACAAGATGCAGAGACTTTCCTCTGAAGAGATCGCTGCAGCCCAGTGTGATGAGACACCGTCTGAGCCAAGCGCTGTAGCAGAAGGAGTTCTGTTACCTCTTCACCTCCTTAAGGGTCGCCTGCGTTAAGTAGTGTATCTGGGCAGCAGACAAGGATCTGGCCTTCACAGAAACCGAGACGGGGCTGGAAATTTTTAGCTCTAAGTCCTACATCTGAGAAGATCTATTGGAAATGCTGGTGACCACTGGAGTTATCCAAATTCAGCGAGTGAGCCGAGGACAACCAGAAAGGCAGGGGAGAGGAGCTGCTCGCCTGTCAGAGCTCAGGCTGCCGGTGTGCTCCTGTCCAGCCCTTTCTACCCTGGAAGAGGGCCTGGCCTGCGCCTGCTGCGTTCGCCTTCCTCCCTATCTGCAGCCATCCCCTCCCCCCCTCAGTAATGCCCCTGAAGCCTCAGCTGAGGGTGTGGCAGAGCTGTGCCAAGGCTGTGGTGGGTCCCTTTTGATGTCAGCACCAAAATTCATCAGGGAGGACACTGAAGCTAAATTATTTGGAGCAGAGGCTACATGGGGTGAGGAAGAGGGCTCACATTTCTCCTCTCACCTCCATCTCAATGGGCTGTGGGCCGCCCAGGTTATCAGCTCAAGCCAGGCGGTGGCCTCTGCACGGCTGATGCTCAGATACCAGAGTCAAGGGCACGTCAGCGCCTGGCTGCCTGCTTGCTCCAGGTTGGCAGCTCTTGGAGAAGATCCACACAGGATGGTTGGAGGCAGCACAGGGGAGATATGTGACTTAAGGACTGGACTCTGAAATAGCTGGAGAAAGGTTTTTTCCACCTGCCGTTCCACTCCTGGTGCTGCTGGGCCCTTGAGTGTGTCCCCTACCCTCCTGGAAACCGCTGGGCCATTAGCAAACATTTGTCAAAATGTGTCCTGGAGTGTGTTTCTGCAGAGTTGATGGGAAGGGGGAGGGGCAGGGATAGTATCAGCAGGGGGCAATCCAGGGGCCCCTGAGAAACGGGCTTGCCCAGAGCCAGCCTGGAAGGTAAGGACAGGCCTGCAGCCCCAACCCTGTACAGAGGCTTTACTGGCTTGCTTATAATTTGGGGGAAAAGGCTAGACACTGTCCCCTCAAATTTAATGCACTTGTCAGTAAAACTGTGCAAATTAATTTAACTGGGTGTCAACTCAAAATTTCTTTCTGAATTTACCCTCTAAGAAAATAATAGTTATAACTACCAATTACTAAGTGGCTGCTCTGCAAAATGCTTGACACCTTTATTTCTGATCCTTTGCACAGCCCTGGACGGAGGTCAGATTCCATTTTATAGGTGTGGGAACTGGCAGTTTCCCAAGGTAAATGCAGAACTCGTAAAAGGAAGGCTGAGGTCAAACTCTGATACGTCTGTCTCTAGAAGCTCTGCTCTCTGTGCCAACCACTCAAGGGGCAGGTGACAGAAAACAAGCTGCGCGACTTGCTCCTAGTTTTTAAAATAACCTCCAGGCGAGTGCTGAGCTCAGCTCACGTGCAGCCTCTCCCTGTGGTTAAGTGTTGTGCCACCCGTGGTCCTTGCCTGGGACTTGCCACACCTGGAGCAGCCTCCCAGCGGCTGGGCCTTTTTGTCACGTGCACACACAAACACACGTAGGAACGTGGATACAGCAGGCCCTCGATACGTCTCATCAGATGAGTGACCCTAGTTTTCCAGAAAATTCGGGGAATGCAAAACATCCACTCCACACATTCTCATTATAAAAAATTCCTGCAAAAATCCAGTGTGAACATTGTAATAATTTGATGTGAAAATAATGTTGATTTTGTTCCTAAGAAAAATCTGTGAGATCCTACCAAGAGTGAAGGGTAGTGAAGATGCTGGTGCCGGAACACATTCTCAGGCGTGATACTTTCTCCTTTAGAAGCCCCAGAGCCAAACACAAGAGAGATCAGTTAATGTTAGAGTCCAAGAAGCTCCGGGCAAGGCGGCCAAGCCGAATCTTGGCTAAGTAGTTGGACTCTTAATTGGACCTAACCCCAGACTTTGGGCTCCCAGCGCCTTTGTGTGGAAATTTTAAAGCTGGTTTAGGCCATGAAAAGTTAAAGCCTTAGAGGCATGGAGAGGCCCAGTGCCACATGGCTGGTGGCATTGCACACTCCTGACTCTTGGTGGGGCTCATCCCCCCCCCCCC